TGTTGACCAGGATGGTCTCGATCTCTTGACCTCGTGATCCACCCGCCTCGGCCTCCCAAAGTGCTGGGATTACAGGCTTGAGCCACCGCGCCCGGCCCAAAGACATTAATTTTCAATCCAAAAAAAGTTCACAAGAACTTAAAGTGGTAAAGAGAAACGCAGACTTTGACATACTTGCCAAGAAAAAAAAAACGTATAGATAACTCCTCCGCTAGAACCTCTCCCCAGTACTTCCATAGCAACAATTATTTCCTTAGCACAAAAGTGATGTGTTCACTTTCAGAAAACCTGGATCATCTAAGTCTGCACAATTCCCTTTAATCTAAAAAATACATGAAATTGCTTCATTTAAGTTCGAATTTTGTGTTCCTATCTATGAAAAAAGTCACGATCAATGTGAGTAAAGCACATGGCTCCAGCTTTAAGGTCTTGTTCCCCAACCCACTGAAAAGAGTATATGCTTATAAAATATTTATCGACTTACCAGGTTAAAGACAGTTTCTACAATATCCCTATTGGACACTTCTCCAACTTCAACTAAACCCGTCAACACGGCAAATTTCATTCTGATGCCCCGGATGGGGAGCCCTGGTTTCAGAGACAATGCAACCCCTTCAGTAGGGGTTTCTTCTCTCCCTCCACCTCCCCCGTCATCACCTGTTGGTGACGGGGAAGGGACACGATTGTCTTCGCTAGCCATTGCTAGCTCACGAGAAAGGACAACTCAGAGTCACCCTGGGACAGCAGTCGCTGCACTGGTAATGAGCACAACACACGCAACGCAAAACCAAAGGGTCTCTCTTCCAACTTGTGGAGAAACCCCAAAGCAGTAGATGTGGAAAGTCCTTGGCGTCGCCCTCCTCGTCTTGGAGAATATTTGTCCAATCTCTCTCCCCGAGGCTGACAACAACGCCAAACCCTATTGGAAGATTAAATATATGTTAAATAGGCTAGGTTTTGTTTTAGGGTTTGTGGGGGGGGGGGCAAGAGGGAAATAGTTATTGTCGGTCAAATAAGTTACTAAAGGCACCCCAGTACTAGCCACTCACTTCTCTCGGGCTCAAAGAGCTGGGTTCTGGGTGAAGGCGGGTCCAAGAGGCCCCCGAACAGGCTCACTCCTCCCCCACAATCGTGCAGGTTCTAGGCGCAGGGTAACCTCTCCTCACAGGTGCACCAGAAAGAGAAACTGTAGCGGGGAAAGGAGGGGTCGGAGGAAAGAAGGGGGCACCGAAGCTACCAGAGAGGTAGAAAGTTCCTCCTCACCCAAATACTCCGGACTCGTCCTCACCCCCGGCCCGGGAGCAGCGAGACGGAGGTGGCGGCGGAGATTCAGGGCAGGAAAAGGCGGGGGAAGGGGGCGGTGATTATTCTAAACGCTCGGCCCAGGGGGAGGAGTAGAGCACCTCTCTCAAGCACCTGAGATTCGACGAGAAGAGGAGGGGAGGTGTGTGTGGTGGCAGGAAGGGAGGGGGCCGGCCCGAGAAGCCGAGCGGCGACCGCAAGGAGAGAAGGGAGGACAGAGAGGTCAGTGCACCTGGTCGCAGCCTCCAAGTTTCCCTAGTCCGCTCCCCGGGAGTCCGCGGCTGCACTGAACTCCATGGCTTCCTGGCCCGCCCCCTCCCCTGCGCTCAGCTTTTGCAAAAGCAGCCGCTGCCGGCGCTACGGACGCCACGGCTGAGGCTGCTGCGAGTGGTGAGGATGCTACTGCCACAGCTCGTCCCGCCACGGCTCGCGCGGCAGTCCCTGTGCCCACTGAAGCTGCTCCCGGCCGCCATGACAGCGCCGAGGGCTGTCGGGCGCGGCGTGCGCGTGCGCGAGCGCGAGGGGCGGGAGGGCGCGAAGGCGGAGGCAACCGCGCGAACCGAGGAGAGGGCCTGGAGCGGACTGGAGCACTGGGCTCGGGCTTCCGGCTGCACCGGGTGTGAGGGCGCGCAGCCAGCGGGCGCCCTGCTCTCGTAGCACCAGGTGTGTCCCGGATCCGGCGGGGAGAGACCCTTCCGTCCAGGGGCCTACACTTTCCCCCCTTTCACTTTCGGACCTGAAAGGTGTTTCTGCAAGTGCTGAGGCGGGGATTCTGGGGCTCCTGCTGTTGTTAAGTTACCGTAGGGTCTCTTGGCACGGAGAGAACCCGCCCCGCGCTGCCAAGGTGTCTCATTGGACTTGGAGAAGAACACCTGAGGGACCTCTCCGAGCCAGAGAGGTGGCGGCGCTGGAGCCAGTGAGACTGCTGTCCCTGCCCAAGGGGAGCGAGGAGTCACCCCCGCCGCACTCGGCGGAGACTTGGAGATTTCCACTGGGATGCCTCGGCAGCTGCCACCATTCGGGACGGGGAGAGGAGGGGAGGAGACCGAGTCAACGAGGAAAGGGAAAGATTCCTTGCTTTGCAGCTGCCGCCCCCACCAAACCTCTCCCACATTCATTCTAGGGAGAGGATTCCTGAGACAGCTGCTGCAAACAGCGTGGAGACAGGGTTCATTGTGCCTGTAGATCTCCGAAGGATTTTTTCCTCGTGATTTTCCAGTGTGAAGATTAGGCTCGCATCATTCTCAGAGGAGATCAAAAGATAAATTATATTCGGTAGTACAGATAGGTCATCATACTCAGTATCCCTTCCTTCCACCCACTATTAACAAACAGTAAAACATTCTTCCTAGTGTGTGAGTAAAAAATAAATTTAGAGGAAGGTGGTTTTTCACCCACGTGTATCCTTTAAGGTCAAAAGGCCTTATTTAAAATGTTTAAAATACTCCTAGCTCCTAAAATGAAAGTGAAGCAAAAAGTGGGGTTAAAAGTAAGAATTCTGGAGGAGTCAGGAAAAATCATAGTGGTCTGAGGAACAAAATCGTTCCTGAAGAAAAAGTTATTTAAGTTAACCTTGCAAAGTGAGCAGAGGCCAGGTGCGGTGGCTCACGCCTGTAATCCCAGCACTTTGGGAGGCCGAGGCAGGTGGATCACCTGAGGACAGGAGTTCAAGAACAGCCTGGCCAACATGGCGAAACTCCATTTCTACTAAAAATACAAAAATTAGCTGGGCAAGGAAGTGGGCACCTGTAATCCCAGCTTCTCGAGAGGCTGAGGCAGGAGAATGGCCACTGCACTCCAGCCTGGATAACAGAGCAAGAGGGAGACTCTCTCAAAAAAACAAACAAAAAAAAGTAGACAATTTTAACTCTCATATGGAAATTTGGGAAGAAAGAGATAACAGACTCAAAGAAGCAAGGGAGGGCTGGATGCACTGGCTCATACCTGTCATCCCAACACTAGGGGGCCAGTGCAGGAGGATCACTTGAGACCAGCCTGTGCAACATGGCAAGACCCAGTCTCTATTTAAAAAAAAAAAAAAAAAAAAAAAAAAAAAAAAAAAAAAAAAAAAAAAAAAAAAAAAAAAAAAAAAAAAAAAAAAAGAACAAGCAAGGGTGTATTTTCTTTAGAAAAGTGTTACACCTTTTAAAAATACCAAAATGGCCCAGGCACAGTGACTCATGCCTGCAATCCCAGCACTTTGGGAGGCCGAGGCAGGCAGATCACCCAAGGTCCGGAGTTCGAGACCAGCCTGGTCAACATGGTGAAACCCCATCTCTACTAAAAATACAAAAATTAGCCGAGCATGAAAGTGGGTGCCTGTAATCCCAGCTTCTCGAGAGACTGAGGCAGGAGAATTGCTTGAACCTGGGAGATAGAGGTCACAGTGAGCTGAGACCATCCCTTTGCACTCCAGCCTGGACAATATGAGCAAGCTCCATCAAAAAAATAAAAATAAAAATCTAAACAGATTGTCAATCGTTTGTAAAAAGTTTTCTTTATTTTTTTGAGATGGAGTTTCACTCTTGTGAAAATGCTGGAATGCAATGGCTCCATCTCAATCTTGACTCACCACAACGTCCGCCTCCTGGGTTCAAGCAATTCTCCTGCCTCAGCCTCCCCAGTAGCTGGGATTACAGGCATGTGCCACCACACCCAGCTAATTTTGTATTTTTAGTAGAGATGGGGCTTCTCCATATTGGTCAGGCTGGTCTCAAACTCCCGACCTCAGGTGATTCGGCCTCCCAAAGTGCTGGGATTGCAGTTGTGAGCCACTGCACTTAGCCCTATTTGTAAAAATTTTCAACCTCTTTGTCCATGGTTAAAATAAAATAGTTGGCAAAAATTGGAGTTTCACTGCAGAAAGCAGCATAGTTCCCTATTTGCTTAGTAGTAGGGGTAAACTTCACTTCTAGGCAAGCCAGTTAAAATGCAATCACTGTGGATTATTATTTAGGTATACAGTATAGAATCTTGGAATGCTTCAGGATGACTATCTGCCTATAAAATCTTAAGTTCCTTTATAGCACAATACTTTACATATTATAAGTATTCATATTATTTGGATTGAGTCAAAACTCTAAAGTTACTTGCTTTAATTTTTCTCACCTGAAAGCCCTTGTCTGAGTCTACACACCTGTTAGCAGTGAGAAGGAGGAAAATCGTGGTATAAATGGGTGTCTTGGCCAGGCACAGTGGCTTATGCCTGTAATCCAAGCACTTTGGGAGGCCAAGAAGGGAGGATTGCTTGAGACCAGCCTGGGCATCATAGCAAGACCTCTTCTCTACAAAAAGTTAAAAATTAGCCAGGCATGGTAGAAAATACCTGTAGTCCCAGTTACTGGGGAGGCCAATGTGGGAGGGTCACTTGAGCTGAGGAGCTCCAGGCCGCAGTGAGCTGTCATGGTGCCACTGCACTGCAGCCTGGGTGACTGAGCAAGATCCCATATCAAAAAAAAAAAAGTAGGCCGGGCGCGGTGGCTCACGCCTGTAATCCCAGCACTTTGGGAGGCCGAGGCGGGTGGATCACGAGGTCAAGAGATCAAGACCATCCTGGTCAACATGGTGAAACCCCGTCTCTACT